TTAAGCTACCGGGGATGCTCTTACCATCGTGTCATTGCCTCTTATCGTCTTTTTGTGCTATTGCCTTCCAGCAGCCGCCTGGTAAGCGAGAGATGCAGGTTCAGTCCCATCCGAGATCTGACGTAGCGCTCCTGTTATAATTACCGGAGCACGCACATGTTAAGCAGCAGTTATCAAACCAAAACAACAATAATTTTGCTTCATTTATCAGTACCACTTTGCATTCCGTCCTGTGGTTTTCTGCTTTATTCGTACTTTCCTAATCTATACATATGCTTACAGTTTCGAGAACGTTCACGAAGGAAGAAAAAAGTTCGGTGGTTCAAAGGTTGGGTCAGGCGGCTCTCGTGGCAGAAAAAGTTTCAGAGGTGGCAGGTCGCGCGGGCGGCACTGAAATATATGATCTAACTGGATTCTGAAGCAGAAATTCACCTTTTTATATTTCACTCGCCGAATTGTTCTTCTTTGACGTCGTCCTTGTTGTTGTTGTTTTTGTTGTTATTGTCAATTACCGTGCATATAGCTTTTTATTGATGTAATGCAGACGTATATGAAATACTCTCTGAGCTTCTACGAGTCATCTGTTTACTTTGGTTACGGTACCAGAATATCGAGATTTCACACCATTTCAAAAATCGATTGGAGTCATATGAGTCTAACCGTTGTTTCAGATGAAGTCGCAACGTGTCTAACTATTAAGTATTAAAATCATGCTACTGGCATTAGTATCAGGGGTCCTCATCTTTCTTGTTCTAGTATTCTGTACATTTCTTCCGTATTGCTACCTCGTACATCGCAGTCGGACTGATGACAGGTAAATGATTCACTCAGCTGTGTAAGGCTAGCAAAGTTGGTAACCACCCTAGTTGTCCCGCTCACCGAAATTCAAAGCCAATTTTCTATCACAAGTTCAGTTTTTACGCAGTGTTTTCCGTTTTTTTTTCTGACTGTTGGTTTAAATAATCACTGAATGACGCGAAGATACGATTAGTGAGCCAGAGGCGGCAGGATATCGCTTTGCTGGTACAAAACGAGCAAGGCGGAAAGACTTGTTCGTTCAGTGAAGCTGCCAGGGGGGTCAGCCTCACTCAGGTCAAGGTGCTTTCCCTAATTTGGCTATACGGCACCACGCCCTAGACGAAGGCAGCATATTGGCCCACAAGAAGTACCACGTCGAAACAAGATACCCCTGTGCATCCCCTTCATATCCGATAAGGTCAGCGCTGCAATAAAACGGAGCATAGTAAGGGCCCAGTTGCAGGACGATGTTCAGTTGGTGAATATACCAAACGAGAACATCAAAAAGCAGCTGGTTCGTAATAGGCTCTACGACAAGCAGTGCATATCAGAGAATTGTGTTACATGCCCACACGGGAAGGTTGGTGACTGTGCGCAACTGGGAGTAATATATGAAATCCAGTGTCGGGCATGTAACTCTACATATATAGGGGAAACAGGAAGGGTCTTGGCTATTCGCATCAAGGAACACCTTGCTAGCATGAGGCGTGGTACTCTTACAACTGCTCTTGGGAGGCATAAGGTTGCTGAACATAATGGGTTGGAATTCGAAATAAAGTGCAGTGTGCTGGCAAATGAGACGGAACTTTCAGCTAGAAAAGCGTTGGAAGCATTCTGGATATTCACTAGAAAACCCAGAATGAACAACCGAGATGAGTGTCCTTCCATCACAAGTGACCTACTACCGTTTATACCCCACTGCGGACTGTAAAATGACAGAGCGTGACGTGCGTCTCCACGATATGTCATCACACGGAGACAATGTAGAATTTCTCATTTCTCTACTAACAGCGCTCTGGTGTGGCTGCGGACCTATCCGCTAAACGGTGGAACAACTGGTGAGTCTGCTTCTTGCGGTACTGGCGTCTTCTCGAGGGTTCCTGACCCTACGTCGGAACCGCTAGATTCGACGAGGCGCTTGGTGGGGTAGGTTGCGAATCTTAAGCTTGAAAC